GCAGGAGCAGCAGCAGGAGCAGCAGCAGAGGCAGCAGCCGCTGGAGCAGCAGCAGCCGCAGCAGCCGCAGCAGCAGCAGCAGCAGCTGCTGCCGTCTCCTCCTCCTGTCTCGGGTCTTCGGACCCTTGGTCTCCCGTCTCCCTCTCCTTCCTCCTCCCCCTCTCCTCCCGTCTCTGGTCCTCCGCTTCCTCCTCCTGACCCCTCTCCCGCTGTTTTCCCTCGTCCTCAGTCTTCGTTGTCTCCTCCTCCTTCTCAGACTTGGGCCTCTCGTCGCTCCCCTCGTGCTCGTCCCTCGTCTCCTGTTCCCTTCACTGACCTTCGTACAGCCTTCCTTTGTTCTCGTCCACCTCGTCCGTCTCCGTCTGTGCTTCCGTCTCCTCCTGAGTCGGCCCTCACTGTGTCGCTTCCTTCTCCTGTCACTGACTACTACCGCACGTACCGTCCTGTTCTCTCTCGTGTTCTCGCCTCTCTTGTTACCCACCCTCGTGCCTCTGTGTCCTCTGTGTCCGCTCTTACTGCCGCAGTCACTGAGTTTGCCTCTACCCGCCGCCTTGACTTCGCCACCGCTCTTGTGGCAGCTCCTCCTTCCAGTCCTCTGGCCGTCGGGGGTGTGTCTGCCCTTGGCAGTGACGCCCTAGAGGACAGGCAGTTTGAGCTAGAGTTCCTGGCGGCCGCTTCCCCTCATCTCTGTGCCATGCTCCTCGCCCCTGAGGGTGACCCCGACGCCCTTGACATTCCGACTCCTCGCACTTACGCTGAGGCAGTGTCAGGGCCTTGGGCCTCTCAGTGGAGAGCTGCCATGGACGCAGAGATGGCCTCCTACAGATCCACAGGCACCTACGTCGATGAGGTTCCCCCTCCGGGGGCGAACGTAGTCGACGGCATGTGGATCTACAGGGTGAAGCGGCCACCGGGATCTCCTCCGGTCTTCAAGGCGCGCTACGTGGCTAGAGGTTTCAGTCAGCGCGAGGGAGTTGACTTCTTTCAGACCTTCGCGTCCACCCCGAAGATGACCACTCTTCGGGTGTTACTACACGTAGCAGCACAGAGAGACTACGAGTTACACTCTCTCGACTTCTCTACTGCTTTCCTTCAGGGCAGTCTTCACGAGGAGGTCTGGTTGCGTCGTCCCTCTGCCTTCACTGGCTCTTTCCCTCCTGGGACCCAGTGGAGGCTGAGGCGACCGGTTTACGGTCTTCGTCAGGCTCCTCGTGAGTGGCACGACACCCTGCGTTCTACCCTGTCTGACCTTGGGTTCCAGCCGTCTTCTGCTGACCCGTCGCTGTTCGTTCGTCGTGGCACCACACCTTTCTTTGTTCTGGTCTACGTTGACGACCTTGTTTTCGCCACCCCTGACAGGGTTGCTTTGGCACACGTGAAGTCCGAACTGCAGAAGAGACACACCTGCACTGATCTTGGTGAGCTGCGCCACTACCTTGGCCTGCAGATCACCAGGGACAGAGCTGCTCGCACCATTACACTTTCACAGTCGCACATGGTGCAGCAGGTCCTTCAGCGGTTCGGGCTTCAGCACTCCACAGTACAGCGCACACCTCTTGCTGTTGACCACAGACTCACTGGACCCTTTCCTGACGAGCCGTTCGAGCCTAGTGGTCCCTACGCAGAGCTTGTGGGTTGCCTCATGTACCTGATGACTTGTACTCGCCCGGACCTCGCCTTCCCTCTCAGCGTTCTTGCGCGCTTTGTTGCGCCAGGGAGACACCGTCCTGTTCACTGGACAGCAGCTGTGAGGGTGGCGAAGTACCTAGCGACGACATCAGGCGTGGGGCTAGTTCTTGGAGGACAGCAGTCTGTCGTACTTACTGGTCACTGTGACTCCTCTTACGCTGACGACGCTGAGACTCACAGGTCTACTCAGGGGTACTGTTTCAGCCTGGGTTCTGGAGCTGTTTCTTGGCGGTCCACGCGCTCCTCTTCGGTCTCGACCTCTACAGCTGAGGCTGAGATCTACGCTGGTGCCATGGCGGCACAGGAGCTGCGTTGGTTGACCTTCTTGCTCACCGACCTTGGTGAGCGGCCGAGCTCTGCACCGACCTTGTTCACTGACAACAAGGCGTCTATTCTCCTTTGTCGAGAGCCACGACTGGAGAGCAGAGTGAAGCACATTCACGTCAGGTACTTTCTTCTTCGAGAGTTGCAGAGGCGTGGACAGGCTCGCTTTGAGTTTGTGGAGTCAGAGGCCAACACTGCAGACATCTTCACCAAGGCGCTTCCGCCTTGTGACCACCAGAGGTGCTGTGTGCAGTTAGGCCTTGTTGACACTGGTTCTCGTGTTGCTTAGACTTGAGTGTACTGTTTACTTTGCTTTCTATATATCTCTGTTACTTCTTGGACTGGCCTTGTGGCCACTGTTGTTTGTGCTCAGACTGTGTGGTGACGTTGTGATCCACCCTGAGCTTTGTTTCTTGGACTGGTCTTGTGACCGTACTCGTTTGGTTCTGCTAGACACCCCTCACTTAGGCTATGGGGGTGTGTCAAATGTTGTAGCCTATAGTGAGGTTTGTCTTAGGGGGTACAAAACTTAGGGTTAGCTATATGTACCCCAACCAACATCAATGCATCATCCATTCTTCATTTTGACACCAACAGTATCAATAGCAGAAATAGATGAGCACCCAATGGTGTTGTTGGAGATGAGCAACGTTCCGCGAGATCATAAACATGACATGAACTTAACAATGTTTTATAAGTGGCTTCTGAGGCGCCTCAAAAGAGAACATGAACATGACATGAACTTCACGATCTTTTTAAGGTGGCTGCAAAACGACTGAGATAATAATGGCATGCACAGGATGAAGCTTCTGCCAACCGCTGTGCTTTCCTGCTGCGGAGTTACCTGCCGCTGGTGGTGCTGCTGCTGCCGCTGGTGGTGGTGGTGGTGCTGCCGCTGGTGGTGGTGGTGGTGGTGGTGGTGGTGGTGGTGGTGGTGGTGGTGGTGGTGGTGGTGGTGGTGGTGGTGGTGGTGGTGGTGGTGGTGGTGGTGGTGGTGGTGGTGGTGGTGGTGGTGGTGGTGGTGGTGGTGGTGGTGGTGGTGGTGGTGGTGCCGCTGCCACCGCTTCCGCCACCACCACCGCCGCTGCAGCTGCTGCTGCTGCTGATGCTGCCGCCACCGCCGCCGCTGCAGCTGCTGCTGCTGATGCTGCCGCAACCACCGCCGCTGCAGCTGCTGCTGCTGATGCTGCCGCAACCACCGTCGCTGCGGCTGCTGCTGTTGCTGCTGCTGCTCACCACCGCTGCTGCTGACAGTGCCACTCCCCAAAACACAACCATCACCCTTTCACCCACCATCATCCTTTTCACCCACCATCATCCTTTCACCCACCATCACCCTTTCACCCACCACACCATCTCGAGTCAGCCAAATCTCACAAGGTGCCATGCCCACACACTCAGCAACCGTGCACCATCTCAACGACCACCTCTCATCATTTAAAACGGATTGACTCAGAGAGCATTGGCTGTTTGGCAGCGGTTGCGAGGATACATACCGGTATGAGTGAAAAAGAGAAGTAAAGTAAAGCCCCCCCTTGCCTCGGCCCCCCCCTTACATCTGAGGATATTTTGAGTCGACTCAAAATACACCTTTGAGTCGACTCAAAATACACCTTTGAGTCGACTCAAAATACACCTGGACAAGCAGTAAAGTAAAGACCCCCCTTGTCTCGGCCCCCCCCTTACATCTGAGGATACATCAATCCCTCTGGCCTCGGCCTCAGCTTGCTATCTCATCAACCCAGCTCCCATTTCAGAAATCTCAAAAGCCCATCAGCCTGCATCCCCTTCAGACTCAACTCTCAAGCAGCCAGCCACCCCTCTCTGTGGCCACTCATCCCCACTTCCCAACCCTCCTTCGCCTGCCAACTGGCTTTGAGACGTCTCAAAATTTAACCTCCGCGTCCTTCATCTCCCCCCTCTCTGTGTCCACTCATTCCCACTTCCCAACCCTCCTTCGCATGCCAACTGGCTTTGAGACGTCTCAAAACTCAACCTCCGCATCCCCCATCTCACCCCTCTTTGTGGCCACTCATTCCCACTTCCCAACCCTGCTTCACCTGCCAACTGTCTTTCCAGGCACGTCCCGTGTGAGTCAACTCACGTGTCCAAGTCAGTGAGTCAGTCAGTCAGTTAGCAGGCTTGGATGGTCCAGCCTTCACTGCCAGGCACGTCACTCAAAGACCCTCTTTCCTGTGGCAAACGCATCGAAGATCAAAGCACTGACAACACACAGGGACGTTGGTGTCAAGCTGGCCACACATGGTCACACTCACTCCGGCTCGATCCTGCCCCCATCCTCCCTCCCCCCCCTCCTTCCTCCTCGCATGCTCAATCGCGCTGCTGCTGGCCTGCCAGGCACGTCACTTAAAGCCCCTCTCCCCCGTGCAGGTACTGCCAGGCATGTCACTCAAATACCCCCCCGCACGCAAGTCAACTGCCTCAGAAGTTCCAGCCCCTACTGCCAGGCACGTCACTCAAATACCCTCTCCCCCGTGGCAAACGCGTCAAAGATCAAAGCACTGACCACACACAGGGACGCTGGCGTGAAAGCTGGCCACACATGGTCAAAGTAGCTCCGGCTCAATCCCTCCCTCCTCATCCCCCCCTCCCTCCTCCCGTGCTCAATCACACTGCAGCTGCCTGTCATGCACGTCATTCAAAGCCCCTCTCCCCCGTGCTGTAAGCTCCACCGAGTCTCAGAAGTTCCAGCCCCTACTGCCAGGCACGTCACTCAAATACCCTCTCCCCCGTGGCAAACGCGTCAAAGATCAAAGCACTGACCACACACAGGGACGCTGGCGTGAAAGCTGGCCACACATGGTCAAAGTAGCTCCGGCTCAATCCCTCCCTCCTCATCCCCCCCTCCCTCCTCCCGTGCTCAATCACACTGCAGCTGCCTGTCATGCACGTCATTCAAAGCCCCTCTCCCCCGTGCTGTAAGCTCCACCGAGTCTCAGAAGTTCCAGCCTCTACTGCCAGGTACGTCACTCAAAGACCCTCTCTCCCGTGGCAAACGCGTCAAAGATCAAAGCACTGACCACACACAGGGACGCTGGCGTGAAGAACACCCACCACCACCCCGGATCAATCCCCCCTCCTCCTCCCCCTCCCGCTGCTCCCCCTCCCACACCACTCACTCCTCCCACTCCACCATCCCCACCACCGCTCCCCACTCCTCCCGACCCCTCTCCACCCGAAAACGCCTCTAGAATCAGCCCAGAAGCCGCCACCCCCACCACGCCCGCCATAGTCCCTGCTGTATTCGACACACCCATCACAACTCCTGCAAACCTCGGCGCTATATCCATGTGGTTTACTGCAAAGCCCGCCCGGGCGATTGCACAGGCGCCTAGCGTGAGAGATGAGCAGAGAACCGCCCCGTTGACGGATTTGAGCACGGGGGTGAGGGCTAGGGCGACTGCTGACGCGAAGAATCCGATCGTGTTGAGGACCTTTCTTGTACCCCCTACAGTCAGGTACCGTTTCGCGATTAAGTGATCGGCGAGTACACCTCCTACGTTGGAAAAGAGCGTCATGATATAGTATGGCATGGCTTTACCCGACCCTACGTTGTGCAGGCTGGTGTTTAAAGCCTGGTGGAAGTACGTAGGAAGCCAGTTCATAAGGACGTATAGGGCGTAGTGGAAGGTGAAGTTATTAGCTACTATGGCCCACACGGGAGCGCTGGTAAGGATAGGTATCCAGGGAATAGGAGGGTCTTTAATTAGAGACGGCTTGTATGACGTTTTGAGGTGTTTGGGAACTGAGGCGAAGCTTTGGCCGAGTCTCTTCAGCCGTTGCTGCTCTTCCTCCTCCTTCTCCTCATCCTCCTCCTCCTTCTCCCTTCCCCCTTTTGCCCCTAGCCCTAACGCGGAATTTGTGCTTGAAGTCAGTCCCCCTCCCTTCCCGCCTCCTCCCCCTCCGCCACTCCCCCCATTTCCTCCCCCTCCACCTCCCCCTCCGCCTCCACCTCCCCCGATTCTATGTACCACTTCTGATTCCAACCCTGTTCCGCCTAGCCTCCCCCGCTCCCCCTCCCCATTCACCAGCGGAAGGAGCTCCGCTTCACTCCCCTTATGCCCCCCCATCCCCCCTCCCACAGGCACATGCGCAAACGCTGTAGGCCCCCCAGGCGGATCCGAGGCGTACTTAATCCACAAAATAGTCCACGCGACGCCCATAGCTGCTACTAATTGGAATACCGACTCGGGGCCTCTAGAAGCTACTAATCCCGGTAGAATCTGCATGGCTATGCCAGCTCCGAGGTACATCCCCGACATAGACAGACTCACTGCGCGGGATTTCTCGTGAGGGGGAGTCCACTGTGCCAAAACGGTGTGTATAGCGGGGAATATGAATCCCTGGGCGATGCCTACCAGCAGGCGGATTATAACTAGTGTGACTGTGTTGGGGCCGCTGCCGGTGCTGTCAGGGGGTGACTCGGTGGGCGTTAAAACGCATAAAACGGACCATGCTACAAACGAGTACGTGAGAACGCGTCTGCCGCCGTACTTTTGAGACGCCCAGCTGCCTGGGACCTGGAAGTGAGTGAGCAGGGCAAGGAGGAGAGGAGGAAATGGGGAAAGGACGGGGAAGATTAGATGGCAACGGGGAGAGGACGCGCAACAAAACGAGTATGTGAGGACGCGCCTGCCGCCGTACTTTTGAGACGCCCAGCTGCCTGGGACCTGGGAGTGAGTGAGGGGGGCAAGGAGGAGAGGGAGAGAGGAGGGGAGAGGAGAGGAGAGGAGAGGAGAGGAGAGGAGAGGAGAGGAGAGGAGAGGAGAGAAGAGAAGAGGAAGGAGAATGTCGGATAGCGTTAGCAAGCACCGAAGCAGGCTGCAAACAAGTACGTGAGGATGCACCTGCCCCCGAATTTCTGGGTTGGTGAAAGTTAAAAAATGAATTTCTCAGGGTCATTCGAACCGGAGTAAAATTAGAATCTTCTAAAAAGGATAGAGAGAGCGGCGTAGCTGCGACGATGCGTATCCGTAGTAGAAGGCCGACATGATCCATCCCTTGATCGCTTGATCCACTCCCTTCAAACCAGGGTACAGTGAAAGTCTCTTCAAAGAGGGTAGAAACTTTTTCCTCCTCTTCTTCGCCTTGTTTTCTAAGGGTAGAGAGTGCGGCGTACCTGCGAAGATGCGTATCCGTAGTAGAAGGCCGACATGACCCATCCTTTCGTCGCTTGATCCACCCCCTCGCGAATCGCGATCGCCGTGTACGCGATAGAGAACCCGACGCGTTCGATATAGCACACTGCGGAGCAGACGAGCGTTAGCAGAACGATCACGTATCGCTGGGGGAGGATGAGGTGGAATAACGCGGCCGTGTTGCCGTTGCTGGTTATACCGGGGATGTTAACGATACTGCCTGCCATGACGGATCCGTTATAGGCCGCTGCTTAACGAGACTAGGTGTTAAGTTAGGGATCAAGTTACGGGCTGGCGAGTGCAAATCAGCTGTTAAGTTAAAATGATATGCGCTGGTAGTAGCGAAAAATGCCAGCAGTGAGTTACTGGTGGCGAGTTGCTAGTAACGCGTTTGCTTGAAGCGCTGTTGCGTATAGCGCAGTGGCGTACAGCGCACAGCAGCAGCATAGGATCTGGCAATACCTCGTGACGGATCGACGTCTCGGGAATGAAGAGATAGGCAATGTCGCGCACACGTTGCCGGGTTTGCCTACACCCCACTGCTACGCGCGGGTCAGTGGCTTGCGACAGTCAGTGCTATTAGCTTATGGGCGTCAATTAGTGGCTCACTGGTGTCAGTGTGCCTCACGATTACGTAATGCAGTTTTTAGTAGCTATACCGTCACCCGCAGCACATAAGCGGCGAGAACATAACAAATTAGGGATCGGCAACAGGGCTTACTGATCCGAATCCTTTCATGTAAGCAGGATCAGAGTAACCACATGGCGTCACAAATGCCTGATCACGCCTGGCAACAATGCTGTCTGCGTCACCTTCAGAATAGGAGAAGGCTGAGTATCTAATGACGTCCCTAATTGCCCAGAATACGGTGAATCACCCAGCAACTGATAGGAGGGCCAGGGACGGCTGTGTTCACCTACTCGTGTGCATCATTATTCCTGAGAATTCCGACACAGACTAGCCTAGTTCACATGATGCCCAGCCGCTGCACGCGAATTCGGTCTGCACCTGCACCCGGTTTTTTTTCTACCAGCCAGTTGCACTCTAGTTACAAGCACCTCGCGCAAGCTGCAGTGATTCTGAACCAATAGTAACGAAGAAACAGATGTCAAACTGAAGAGACTGAAGTCAAAATGTCAACGTATAAGTAACAAAACTTTTCATTAGCACGAACGAATCCTTTTTTGCTAGTTGCTAGCTGCGAGTTTTTTGCGAAAGGCAAGAATCACTTAAGCGTCCTCTTCACAAGCCAACTATGGATGATTCAAACGAGAAACAGGTATAGTTCCCTACCCACATTATTGGGAACGCCGAGCTTCTTGCTCCTTCAGTGGAAGATGTAAGATTCTGCCACGTGGATCTGAAACTGATGGATCGAAGCCGAGGATGCCCTGGTGCGAGGGAAGGCTTTGCGAATGATGGCGATTCACCTTCATCTTGGTCGGTCAGGTCAGGTCGCAACGAAGCATCTCCAGGATTGACGACTTTGATGAGGTGACGTCAAATTGCGGCGTCGCATCGCAGGAGATTGAGCGTTATTGACTGATAAGTCAGGTAGCTCTAATTATACAGTAGAAGTACTTGGATACACAATTCACAAAGATTACAAGACAACCAAAACGGAAAACAGAATCAGCTTCTAATACCAGTCCACGTATTCGCCTTCTGCTTTAGGCCTTCGCTTTGGTCGTGGTCGACGGTTGTTATCATATGTGGCTTTAGCTATGTACGCCTGGATATCAAACGCACCCTCTTGCAGGGGTACCATCCCATCTATGATCCTGCACATCAAAAAATGAGGGTGGTAAGGTAAGGCAAGATACGAAAGGGGAGGGGGGGGGGGGGGGGGGGGGAGGGAAGGGGAGGGGGGAAAGAACATTTAAGAACGTAGGCTCGAAGAAGGATGTGAGGGAGAACACGAGAAGTGAAACTACAAGCATGGCAATAAACTAAAGATCCAAAGACAAAGAAAAAAACACTAACCCTTGTAGCTTTCCAGTTAATTCAGCATGTTGGGCCGATGTTACATAATGTATACAAAGCTCGGGGCATTGTCCCACAGCCAGGTTGACACAGTAACGAGCCCTGTCCTTAGTCTCCCCTCCCACCGTCCACCCTGCACGGAAGCAACGTGATTATAACAAAGACAGTACAATAAAACGGGTGACTACAGCCAAACAGCAGAGTAGAGTCACGTTAATTGGAGCACACTTCTGGTTCAAGGTATAACAGGTACAGTTGAAGTGAGATGGTTTGGAACACTTGACCTTGGTAACACATTTCTTGGGAAACATGCCTGCAGCAACAGGCTGTAACAACAGCCAGTGGGGCATGGCACGGGGTGTGGCAGTGAAATTGAAATAGCATGTGATGCAATACAAAGGGGATTATCAGTGCCCACCTTGAAAGGCGTCTGGAGGAGAAGAGGAAGGGCGCTGCCACTTGCAGCTGGAGGGCACCTGTTGTAGCAGCAGGCTGTATCGATGGGCTGTATCGATGGGCTGTATCGATGGGCTGTATCGACGGGCTGTATCGATGGGCTGTATCGATGGGCTGTATCGATGGGCTGTATCGATGGGCTGTATCGATGGGCTGTATCGATGGGCTGTATCGACGGGCTGTATCGATGGGCTGTATCGATGGGCTGTATCGATGGGCTGTAGCACCAATGACCAGCACCCACCTTCAAAGGCGTCTGGAGACATGGCGCGGGCCCTGGCAGTGTCCTCCGCATAGGAGAAGAGTAATGGCGCTGTCACTATGCAGCTGGAGGCACCTGTTGTAGCAGCAGGCTGTAGCAACCAATCACAACCGCCTACCTTGGAAGGCATCAGGAGACATGGCGCGGGCTCTTGCAGTGTCCTCCGCATAGGAGAAGAGGAATGGCGCTGTCACTATGCAGCTGGAGCGACAGGCTGCAGCAGGGGAGTGGGGAAGGGAGTGAGGTGGGGGAGAAGGGTGTGAGAAAGGGGAGGCCTGAGGGAGACGCATTCACCATGCAGCTGGGGCGACAGGCTGCAGCAGGAAGGTTGGGTTGGGGAAAAGAAGAGTGTGAGAGAGGAAAGCAACGAGGAACAACCACTGAGTGGCTCAAGCAGGAGAATCTGGCAAGGGAGGAAGCAAGGAGCGGAGTGGTTGGATGGTGGACAAGAGGGGAGGGAAGGGTAACGAAGGGAGTGCGTATCAAGTGTTGACTCACATTGACCAAGGCAGCGGATTTCGTTGACCCAGGGCCAGAGGTCTCCGTCCTCCTCCTCTTCCTCTTCCTCCTCCTCCTCCATCTGCAACAGCACGTTTGTACAGACAGGCACACAGCATTAGCACACTTGCGATAACTTCAGTCAATTCAAAAGCCACATGTGCATACTTGCATGTACGTGTCCTGGTTCACATGCAAGGATGTACACGCATGCATACAGGCACACACGTCTGCGTAGATGACTTTTGAGTCGACTCAAAAGTCAACACATACTTGTCCTGGTTCACATCCAAGGATGTGCATACAGGCATACAGGCACACAGGCACACATGTCTACAAGCAAATCAACGCATACGAGCCCACCTTCTGCCATCCCCACCTCCTCCTTCAGAAGCATCTGTTGGAAGCGTTTTGATTGGGCCTGAAAATCACTCCATTACCGCGTGGGGTTTTCAGCTCACCTTCTGCCTCCCGTGGGGTTTTCAGCTCACCTTCTGCCTCCCGTGGGGTTTTCAGCTCACCTCCTGCCTCCCGTGGGGTTTTCCACCTCCTCTAGAAGCAACTGGGGGGGGAATGAGCATGGAAAAAAGAATGAGGGGGGGACAAGGTGTGTGTGGGAGGAGGGAGGGTGGATGAGGTACAATCTAGCCCACACATTCTGGCGTTCTGGTTCTCTTGGGGTTCTCCACCTGGTGACTTTCGAGTCAACTCAAAAGTCACCTCGCACCTGCTCTAGAAGTAACTTGGTGGAATGAAAATGAGAAACGGAGCAGCAAGGGAGCGACTTGAGGGGCAGCAAGGGAGCGGTACAGCGTGAGAAGCAGAGAGGCGGGGTTGTGGGAGCGACTTGAGGGGTGGAAGAGTGAAGGGCGGAGGGATGAGCGAGGAGGAGAAGAGGGGAGAACGTGCAAGGGGAAGAGTAGGAGCAGTGGAGAGTAGAAATCGAAAGTGCAAAGGTGAACGGGTGGGAGGATGTTTTTGAGTTGACTCAAAAAGAGGGGAGAACGTGCAAGGGGGACAGTAGAAGCAGTGGAGGGTAGACGTCGAAGGTGCAAGGGTGAACGGGTGGGAGGATGGGAGTGTGGGAGCGGTGCACGTCATATGCCAGCACGAGTGGAGAGCGAGAGGGTGGGGGGGTGGGAAGGGAGCAGCGCACCTCATATGCGAGCACAAGCCGGGTTGTGATTGCCTCAGCGTCCAGCTCCCCTCGGTACACGTCAGGATGGACGTTCTTGATCTGACGGTTGAGATTTGAGGGGGAGATTGAAACACATCGTAGTAAAAGTCGTCTCCTGCGCGCCCAGCTCCCCTCGGTACACGTCAGGATGGACGCTCTTGATCTGACGGTTGAGAATTGAGAGGGAGTTTAACACAAAATACACTGAAAAGTCTCCATTAGAGCATCCAGCTCCTCTCGGTACTCGTCAGATTGTAAGTTCTTGATCTGACGGCTGAGAATTGTCGAGCGAGGATAGAACCAGCACGTGAGCGTCCTGCTACCTTCGAAAATGCAGAGGAATGGAGAGAGGGAGGGAGGACAGGGGGCTTGAGGGAGGTCGGGGAGTTGTGGGGAGGGAAGCCTCAGCAACAGCAGTGACTGGAGTTTGAGCAGATAATGGCGAACAGAATCATTGTGGAAAAGGACGTATCTATAGGAACTCACATCCCAGCACCTCATCGCCAACAGCATTACGCCACGTGTCACATCACCTGCCTTGGCGCGAAAGGCGGCTTTAATCTCGTCGGCGGACGACCCCTCCGCGACGCCTAGCAGCTCCCACGGGTCTGTCCGCGTCATCCAATCCGTGTCCGGGAAATCTCCGCCGTTTCCTCCGCCGCGACTCGCGCGGCATTCTGTTTGTCGCGCGAAACGTCGCGGTTCAGTCTGCGAAAAAGGGGATGCGGATGTTCGGCATGGGGTTACCTGATTACGGTATGACGCTGACGAGGCGTGTAGAGGAGTCAAGAAAGTCGTTCTGAATACGGACGGCTGCACAGCACTCATCGTCTAACAGTCCTGCGCCACGATTCAGAAAGTCTTGTGCAAGTTAGGGATAACGCATATGCCAGCTTTGTAGCTCTAGTGACTTATTACGTGGTCTCTGTTGTCCTGGTGTTTTCTCAAGTGTGGATGGTGGGTGTGTCCTTAGAATGCCTACGGATCCTTCAGTGCGGTTGCAGTGGCTTTCACGCGGTATTCAGCGGTTTCGAAAGTGTATATGCTCTCAACCGTGATGCACCATACAGAACCGTGGAAAGAAAATGAACAATCGGTTTTTTTCTTGTATGTGGCTGGTGTCAGTGATGTTGTCGCGCTTCGAGATTTATAACGAGGATAATACATGAACTCCATTTTGTGCGGACTAGGCTCAGTGGGCCGTGTGCATCGTGTAAATCGTTCATGCACAAACCCGCGTCCTCGATATGGAGAATCTGCGACACAGAGAATCACGGTGACAGAAAGTCCCTCATTTGCAGGCAGAGAACATGTCGAAATATGTTTTTTTTTTCCTTTTTTTTTTTACTTTTGGCTCTTTCCAGACCAGGCGACAAAGCGAATCCCAGAAAGCCATTTCCACGCAATGTGAGGGCGAGGTGCTTTTGATTCAAAGTTCAGAAAGCTGGTCGAACTGGAGCTGGTTACTGACTTCGCGAAGGTCGCAGTAACCTTCGCATGGAACCAGGTCTGCGTTCTAATTTTGACCTGGTGAGTCAAGTAACCACACAGTCAGTTCGAAGCGTGGTTTCGAACGTGGTCATTTCTGCTCATATTCAGTGGCTTCACGAAACTGAATATTTCGACAACAACGCCAGGGCCAGGTAGACTACATCGGGTAACCTACATTTGTCATTACGACTCGGAGAGGATCGAATCTCGTTTTTGATTCTCGATGGTCACCTTTTGATTTACCAGAAATCGGCACCGCGGCTCGAATTTCACAAAATCAACTTTTCGACCTCACAATCGAACTTCAAAAAAGGGTAAAAATCGACTGGAAAAGCAAACTTAGGAACTTGTGCCAAAAGTACCGCGCCCTTAAAAACAAGAAACGCCATCCTCGATACAACACCTAAGGAGTATTCAGCAGAGGGCACAATCACCATCACGCAAGTACACTCTTATACATTTATGTAAATACGCTTATGGTTTACACTAAGAGTTTTCACTCCTGTGTGTTTCTCCTGCTCCACCACCTCCCCTGCCGCTGAAAACCCTAACTCGTCTCCATTCCTCCCTCCTCTCAGCTCGCGCATTCTCCGCTCGCACTCGCTCTCGCCTCTCCCTGCCTCCCTAAGGTTCGTTTATTGCGCGATCCGCCTTCACTTAGGCCGTTATTCGGCTCTAGCGGTTCGTTCTTAAATATGGCTTAGTCTTTTTATGAAGCTCAGGTTTTAGGCGCGTTGATCGGACAGTTCCTGCCTGTTCGTCCATCATGCCTAAACTTGACACTGTTAATCAGTAGCGATCCGCCACGTGTCACGCCACCCGTTGCGTCATATAAGCAGGAGTTTCTAACGTCGCGTCGTTGCATCTGTGCCGTCGGATTCTTGTGCTCTGTGCAGCGGCACCGTCGATTCCCGCGAGCCACCATGGGTCACGAGACGGTCTGGAACTCGCACCCGAAGAAGCACTCCCCTGGCGCCCGCCTTTGGTAAGTCAGTGATCAGGGAGTGGTGCCGACTCTGTAAAAGGTTACAGGAGAGGGGAGTGCTTACCATCAGGGTCTAGAAATCGCATCCGAAGAGGCACGCGGGCTTATGGTAAATCAACGTTACAGTGCGGGTTACAGTGTGTGCATTACGTGGCTTGGTCAATGGCTAATTGAATACGCGTAGATGTAGTAAAAGGTTGCAGGAGGTGCTGGCGTTCCGTTAGGCTTTGGAATCTGCTCGCGAAGAAGCACTCCCCTGGCGCGCGCCGATGGTCATTTAGGGTTTCCTGGGGGCTGATTCATCATTCAGGCTTTAATAGGTTCCGAAGGGTCGGGTTACCGTTAGGGTTAGGGTGGGAGCACGTATATGTCGGCCGCCACTCGTCAACCGGGGGGGTACCGCGTCGCTGTGTGCGAAAGGTTAACATTAGGGTGCCAAGAGAAGGTTAGGTTTCCGCGGCTATTTCTGGCCCGCGGGTTATTGTTGCTCCGATCCGTTGATCAGTGTTCTAGCGCTTCGTGAACTCTTTAGTAGCCGTAGGATCTGAAATGCCGTTTGTTACTCACCGTAATGCACACAGCTTCCTCGCCACGTGACCGAATCTGGGACCGGGATGCAGGATATTTTTCGAACATCTCGTCTCCCTTTGCTTCCGTCCCTCATCGTTCGCCCCTCTATTTCTGTCGCTCATGTCGCGACATTGGCAGCCGGGTGTGCTGTAACTACCTCGCCATGATCCATTAGTACCTCTGCGGATGACCCGCGTTGTGTCAACTCTCAAGGGTCTTCAACTGATTTTTTGTTCTTTTCCGTTCCCTTCTTTTTCTGCCCTTTTTCCCCTCTCGTTTGCCACGGCAGCTGGGTGTGCGGTAACTGCCACGGCATGATCCGCAAGTACCGTTTTGGTGTCCCAACCTTTCTCTCCACAGGGTTATCATCGATGTATCCCTTCCGTCTCTCTTCCCTCCCTCATCTCGTTGTGATGGCAGCCGGGTGTGCGGTAACTGCCATGGCATGATCCGCAAGTATGGCCTCAACTGCTGCCGCCAGTGCTTCCGCACCTACTCCAAGGACATTGGCTTCATCAAGGTACAGTTATTCGCTTGTGTAATGTACATAACAATTGTGATGTATAGAGTTACAGTAGTTTGGCACACTAGAGTCACCTTATTGGCCTCAATTGCTGCCACCAATGCTTCCGCACCTACTCCAAGGACATTGGCTTCATCAAGGTACAATAATATCGGTGTGCGTACAGTTTGCAGTATGTATTGTAGTTTGATACACTAGGGATACCCATTTTGGCCTCAACTGCTGCCGCCAGTGCGTCCGCACCTACTGAAGGGGACATCGGTTTCTGCAAGGTGCAGTTTTGTGCGTTGTTGTACATGTATGAATGGCTACGGTCCAATGTTTGCTGAATGAAGTTTTAGTGTTTTGGCATATTAGTGTTGCCATATGGTAATTCTGGTCACCCGCCAGGTCTGCCATAAGAGTGTGTTCATGTTCGTGGGGCTCATGTTGGGTCATGTGTTCTTCCTGATATACACTCCTACCATCTTCCTGTGGTTCATGATGGTCAAGTCTTTGTGGCTCTTAGTTACTTGCCTAACTGCTGTTCTCCGGCGTCATTGTCCCTGTCGCGTTTCATATCATGCCTAGTGCATTGCATGTGTAATGTGCTCATGCTTGATCACAATGTTCGCTGATGTCTCACGTGTACCCGTCCCATATTCCCCTTCGTGTGGCTTTTGCAGCACAAGTAAGCACATGGTGTGTTCACACCAGGAGATATGGAGCCTTAAAGCAAATACAGAAACCCTTGCTGGAGTTGCGCAGGAGGTTTTCTTCACGCCTGTCACCAGTTCCTGTATTTCTGGCTGGTGTAGCATGTGCATTGTGCAAAGCGATTTATCAATGTAAAATGAAATGTATTTGCTGGCAATGGAAGGCTAGAGAATCTACGGATAAGTGGAGTTGGATTTACAGGTTTCAATAAGTGATCTCAAAACATACAGTAGGCACTAGAGCTGGTTCAGCACTTTGCTAACACTGGCACCTGTCCCGTTGTAAATGCATCAGGTTCAATAATGCCGACTAAAGTTCAGAAAACATCCATATCTTGTACCGGGTATGTTCTTTATAACAAGGAATACTCTCCCCTCTATGGCTTCATTTATGGCCATTGGCGCCACGCACTACTTCCTATGGAATGCTATCTAGGATTGATTCCAGCAATAAAACCCCGAGCCTCTCTTCTATTAGTGGTGCTGCTAGAACTATCCTCAGCAGCAGCACCTGCAGCTGCTGGTTCCTCAGCAGTCTGTTGACCTGGAGTTGCTTTTCCTGCTGTTGACGCATCTCCTGAGGACGGTGCTGAATCAAATCCAAGCTCTGAGAGGTTCTGAGGGGCCATGAGGTTCCTGGCACGGCATCGGGAGAGAGTGAAACAGTAGTACAGTTATGGGTGAGGACATGGGAGAGTGTTTGTTGAGAGAAAGGAAAGCAGTACCGTAGTACCGGTAGTAGTAAGGCTCACCTGCCCATGTGGCACTGGGGGCATTTCTTTGCAATGTCTCAGCAATGGTCCGACTGGTTACCACCCAGAGGACCTTACATGCCCCATCAGTTCCGTAAGTGCTTTGAAACACAGCGATAGAAGGTTACAAAAGGTGAGCTCACCTGTCCATGCGGCACTGGGGATACTTCTTTGCAATGTCCCGGCACTTGTCCTCTAGATTTCTCATTCCTGAAGTGCTTTAGAGTGCAGAGGGAGCACGCTTACCTGTCCATACGGCATTGCAGGTACTTCTTTGCAATGTCCCGGCACTTTTCTGATTGGTTGCCGTGCTGCTTCAGACAGTCCATGTACTCACGCATAACCTGAAACACTCAATAACGAGGCATATTTCACAGCAGAAGACCCAATAGCATATGTTTCTAAATCCGCTCAAACAACGAAGACCCAATGACAAAATTCCCGTATCTCCCATCAATTTTATCACACCTCGTTGCACTCCCCCAAATGTTCCAGCGGGAAATGCTTACCCTACCACTCCTGTCAATCCCATCGCACCTGTTTGCACTCCCCGAAGTGGTCCAATGGGAACACGCCCTTCTCCGGGGGAACTGGCTGCAGCGACCGGCTCCCGCCGAACGCGCCTCCAACACCCGCCATGGCAGCCCGAGGGGTCGGCGGGCGCTGGCGCGACTAGCGAAGCCCCTCGAGAGGCTTCGGCCTCTGACGAGCGCGCGCGCCCTTCTAGCGCTGCTTTGACTAGCGAAGCGTCTCAAGAGTTTTCGGCCTATGGCGCGACAGCGATCCGAAATGGCCACTCGAAGCCCGCTCAACCCGCGGACGAGCAGGCGCGCCCTTCGAGAGCTGATTTGACGGCGACCGCGGCCCAGTATCGAGGCACTCTGAGAAGCGGACGCTACAACCTGATGTGCCTCGGAACTTGGAACTTATGCATGTACAACTTCAGATATTCAATCCGGCAACGATTACGCATTTCAGTACTTAGGTCCCCCATGGCATCGCCTCCGCGGTCGGACGCAAAAGCCTTCTCCCAGCACGAATCAGTGGCGTGGGATCTTACGGGGGACCTCGTTTCGAGCGCAGGCTTTACTGATGTGAGGCTGCTGTTGATTAGCTGCGGTGCTAAGACGGTTTATTCGTTTCTCCAGGATTCCGGAATGATTAATTTCTGTAAGGCGCACTTCGTTATCCTGTAGGTCACTTTCAACATGCAATACGGAACTTCATAACTGCAAGAAAGGTCTTTTCACTTGTGTTGACTTGACTGAATGACAAGGACAGCCTGTCTCATTAAGGCCCATATAAACACTATAAATCAATATTGTCCATGCCGAGGTTGTACGCGGATCCACTTGGTGGCGCTCCATTTGTTTCCGCGAATAACTGGGCATCCAGCTGTCAAGAGATGGACAAACAAATTGGAAACATACAAGAGGAGCAAAGACGCCTATCAATATGCCGCAACAAGATTGACGACAAGCTCAGCACAAACAAATGCACAAAAAAAACTATCCAAATCCACACCTCATCGTGCCTAAAAAACACATCCAGCTCAGCTCACACTTGAAACAAACTTTACCATGTGCCATAGCCTACTCGTTGCGAAATCCATGCGTTGGCTAGCTGAGGGCGTAACGTACGACTCACCATGCAGGCTCTTGGGGTCGAGGGTTGTGTCGGGCTTGATGTTCCAGAACAGCAACGCACCCCCCCTCTTGGGGTCGAGGGTTGTGTCGGGCTTGATGTTCCAGAACAGCAACGCACCCCCCCTCTTGGGGTCGAGGGTTGTGTCGGGCTTGATGTTCCAGAACAGCAACGCACCCCCCCTCTTGGGGTCGAGGGTTGTGTCGGGCTTGATGTTCCAGAACAGCAACGCATCCCCCCTCTTGGGGTCGAGGGTTGTGTCGGGCTTGATGTTCCAGAACAGCAACGCACCCCCCCTCTTGGGGTCGAGGGTTGTGTCGGGCTTGATGTTCCAGAACAGCAACGCACCCCCCCTCTTGGGGTCGAGGGTTGTGTCGGGCTTGATGTTCCAGAACAGCAACGCACCCCCCCTCTTGGGGTCGAGGGTTGTGTCGGGCTTGATGTTCCAGAACAGCAACGCACCCCCCCTCTTGGGGTCGAGGGTTGTGTCGGGCTTGATGTTCCAGAACAGCAACGCACCCCCCCTCTTGGGGTCGAGGGTTGTGTCGGGCTTGATGTTCCAGAACAGCAACGCACCCCCCCTCTTGGGGTCGAGGGTTGTGTCGGGCTTGATGTTCCAGAACAGCAACGCACCCCCCCTCTTGGGGTCGAGGGTTGTGTCGGGCTTGATGTTCCAGAACAGCAACGCACCCCCCCTCTTGGGGTCGAGGGTTGTGTCGGGCTTGATGTTCCAGAACAGCAACGCACCCCCCCTCTTGGGGTCGAGGGTTGTGTCGGGCTTGATGTTCCAGAACAGCAACGCACCCCCCCTCTTGGGGTCGAGGGTTGTGTCGGGCTTGATGTTCCAGAACAGCAACGCACCCCCCCTCTTGGGGTCGAGGGTTGTGTCGGGCTTGATGTTCCAGAACAGCAACGCACCCCCCCTCTTGGGGTCGAGGGTTGTAGGGAGAGCTGCGAGTCCGGTGGTAGTGGCGAGTGGATGCATACGCTTATTGTGGTGGATGCATATGCATAGGCGTCACTCACCGTGCAAGCTCTTCAGGTCAAGGGTTGTATCGGGCTTGAGGTTCCAGAACAGCAGCGCATCGCCCCTCTTGGGCTTCACTGCCAGCATGCCTTTAGCGCACTGAGAGAGCAGCATATCCGGTTGTAGAGGTGATAAGTGCAGGCATAGGCGTCACTCACCGTGCAAGCTCTTGGGATCGAGGGTTGTATCGGGCTTGAGGTTCCAGAACAGCAGCGCATCGCCCCTCTTGGGCTTCACTGCTAGCAGGCCCTTAGCGCACTGAGAGAGCAGCATATCCGGTTGTAGAGGTGATAAGTGCAGGCATAGGCGTCACTCACCGTGCAAGCTCTTGGGATCGAGGGTTGTATCGGGCTTGAGGTTCCAGAACAGCAGCGCATCGCCCCTCTTGGGCTTCACTGCTAGCAGGCCCTTGGCGCACTGAGAGAGCAGCATATCCGGTTGTAGAGGTGATAAGTGCAGGCATAGGCGTCACTCACCGTGCAAGCTCTTGGGATCGAGGGTTGTATCGGGCTTGAGGTTCCAGAACAGCAGCGCATCGCCCCTCTTGGGCTTCACTGCTAGCAGGCCCTTAGCGCACTGAGAGAGCAGCATATCCGGTTGTAGAGGTGATAAGTGCAGGCATAGGCGTCACTCACCGTGCAAGCTCTTGGGATCGAGGGTTGTATCGGGCTTGAGGCTCCAGAACAGCAGCGCATCGCCCCTCTTGGGCTTCACTGCTAGCAGGCCTTTAGGGCACTGAGAGAGCAGCATATCCGGTTGTAGAGGTGATGAGTGCATGCATGGGCGTCACTCACCGTGCAAGCTCTTAGGGTCGAGGGTTGTGTCGGGCTTGAGGTTCCAGAACAGCAGCGCATCGCCCCTCTTGGGCTTCACTGCTAGCAGGCCCTTGGCGCATTGAGAGAGCTGCGAGTCCAGTGGTATCGGCGAGTGGATGTTGTCCGGGGTGAGCTCTGCTGCTGGAAACACCGTCTCTCCGCCTTCCTCCACATCAGATCTGGTATGAGAGAGAGAGGCAAGCGTGGTAGGGAATGAAGGAGGGACGGAGTTGGATGGGATGGGATGCCCTTTGGCCCACTGGAAAAGCTGCAAGTCCGGTGGTAACGGTGAGTGGATGTTGTCAGGGGTGAGCTCTGCTGCTGGAAGCACCGACTCTCCCCCTTCCTCCACATCAGAGCTGGAGAGAGGGGAACCAGAATCATGGAAGGAACAAGGGCAGCTATTAGAAGAGAAACGGCGAAACAATGTCAGATGGTTTGGCATGCTCTTCGTGCACAGTTGATTTTTGAGGCGCCTATAAAATCCCCTTCGTGCACAGTTGTTTGGGGTGAGCTCTGCTGCTGGGAACACTCTCTCTCCCCTTTCCTCCACACTAGATCTGGAAAAGGATGTGGGAGTTTTTGAGAATTCTCAAAAACTCCCTGCAAGATCTGGAAATAGACGTGGGAGAGACGGTTGGGGATGGCAGAGGGAAGGATGGATAAGCAAGGAAAGAGGGAGTTCGAAGGGAGCCCCTTGGCGCACTGAGAGAGCTGTGAGTCCGGTGTTAGTGGTGAGTAGATGTTGGCGGGGGTGAGCTCTGCTGTGCTGTCTGGGGGCTCCCTGACCTCCTCCCCCCCTCCCCCCCACTTATCTACCTTCCGTTGAAGACACATCCTCCCCCCTTCCTCCCATCACGTCACCCCTCACTACGCTTGCAGGTACATGAGAACAGTGGCCAGCCTCTGCCCCCCATTGCGCATGTTAATGTCATCGTGGGAATAGTCGGAACGGACCTGGTACTCCTGAGATAGTTCATAGTCCCCCCTTCGATACAGTCACATCCACCACTTTTTCCCTCACTCCCATTCGGTAATCTCACAGGTACATGAGCGTAGTCGCCAGCCGCTGCCCCCGATTGAGGGTGTTGATGTTATCACTCACATACCCTCTCCCCACCCCACCAACCCCTTCTCCCCCACCCGTCACATTCGTTACACTCACAGGTACATGAGAACAGGCGAAAGTCGCTGCTCCCCATTTCGAGTGTTGATATCATCGTGGAAATAGTCAGAGTGCGCCTGGTACTCCTGGGAGCGCCTTCTGAACCCGTCCCTCCCTCCTGGTTACCAGATGCCCTTGGGAGGGACCATTCAGTTGCAACCCCAACCCGCTCTCTGCCACACTCACAGGTACATGAGAACAGTAGCGAGCCTCTGCCCCCCGTTTCGCGTGTTGATGTCATCACGGAAATAGTCAAAGCGTGCCTGGTACTCCTGGGAGGGCCCCTCAAACCCCTCCCTTCCCATCTCCCTGTCTTTGCGGTCACACCCCTTTCCCCCACCTCCCCCCCCTCCCACTCATTACACTCACAGGTACATGAGAACAGTAGCGAGCCTCTGCCCCCCATTGCGTGTGTTGATGTCATCATGGAAATAGTCAAAATGCGCCTGGTACTCTTGGGAGGGCTCGTAATGCAATACGTGTATGGCCTCCCCATGGTCTGGTGGGGGTAATCAGAAGACAAGGAGGGGGAACGGATGGGTTGCCATTGACAGTGCGCCTGGTAATCCTGGGAGGGCTCGTAATGCGATACGTGTATAGCCTCCCCGTGGTCTGGTGGAGGGCAATGCAGGGGAGCAGGGGAGCAGGTGAGCATGGGAGGGTGGGGAATTAGTCAAAGTGCGCCTGATACTCCTGGGAGGCTTCATAGTGTAATACGTGAATGGCCTCCCCGTGGTCTGAGGAGGTGTGGAAGGGAGGGAAAGACAGAAGGTGCAGGTGGGTTGTGGGTCAAAATGAGCCTGGTACTCCTGGGATGTTTCATAGCGCAACACGTACATGGCCTCCCCGTCATCTGATTGGAATGAAAGGGAGGAGGTATGATATGAGTAGGAATGAGAGGGAGAGGTGGTGCGGGTGGGTTGTGGGTCAAAGTGCGCCTGGTAGTCCTGGGATGTTTCATAGCGCAACACGTGCATGGCCTCCCCGTGCTCTGATGGGTGGGAAGCATAGCGGAAGGGATGAGAGAAGGGGTAAGTGGACAGGACACCAACAGGCAGGTGGGAGAAAATGAGCTATTCTCTTCTCTCCTCTACAAACAACCCCACCTGCACCACCACATCATCCTTATCCGATGCTTTCTGGCTGTCTACTCGAACCCCAAGGCATTTCCTCCTAGCTAGCAAACAACTCACCCACAGGCAGGTGGGAGAAATCGGATATTCTCTTCTCGATAGAAGCCACCACCTCGTCTGATCCCCGCGATAGAAATGATCCAGAGCTCGTCCGAATCCTGCCAGAACAGAAACCATCAGCACGATCGCAGACACAAATGAGTAAGACCGGCTGTTCCTGTCTCTATGGAAGTCACCTCACCACCTCGTCTGATCCCCGCGATAGAAACGATCCAGAGCTCGTCCGAATCCTGCCAGAACACAAAGCATTGCAATCACAGGGACAGACGAGTAAGGCCAGCTGCTACTGTCTCACTAGAGACCACCACCTCGATTCATCCCCGCGATAGAAACGACCCTGAGCTCGTCCGTGTTCTGCCGGCACAGACAGCATTGCAATCACAGGAACAGATGAGCAAGGCCAGCTGCTGCTGTCTCACTAGAGACCACCACCTCGTTTGATCCCTGAGACAGAAACGACCCTGAGCTCAAAAGTCACTTCTGCCAAAGACGAACATAAGCACGATTGCAGGCACAAATGAGTGAGACCAGCTGTTCCTGTCTCGACAAATGTCATCATCTTGTTCCTGTCTCGACAGATGTCATCACTGTCATCATCTTGTTCTTGCTATCCGAAACTGCAACACCACTAATACTAGACTAACCCCTGCCCATACTCAATACAGGAAGACTCACTTGCTGCTATAGGAGCAGCCTACACTGATCTCTATCCATACTCGTTACAGGACGACTCACTTGCTGCTGTAGGAGCCGCCTGAGTCGCTGTCGACAACAGTTGACTTGACCATGTTGGGTGCTGCTTTGTGGATCAGATACAGACACTCCTTGGCAGTCTGCAGTGATACGGATGGGTGAGGATGGGTAAGAAGGGTTAAGAATGGTTAGCATTGGCAAGGATGATAAGGAATGAGAAAGATCGGCACAGAAAGAAGGAATGCTACGTGAATCAGATACAGGCTCTCATTGGTGGTTGGTGAGAATAGGAATGCTATAGTTGAACGTTGACAGCACTCCTTGGCAGTCCTTGAAAATTCTGAATTTAAGGTTTTGAAAAAGAGGACCCGTGAAAAGCCTATCAAGAAATCATGGAAGAGAAAGGCCCTAAGCTCCCATGAGATGGGCTCTATCCAATCCTTCATCCAGCAACAAAGTCGTCTCACTACATGCGGTTTTTGAGGGGCCTGTTGACTTTTGAGTCGACTCAAAAGTCAACTCTATCCAATCGTTTATCCGGCTACAAAGTCGTCTCACTACATGCGGTTTTTGAGGGGCCTAAGAAACTGTCCCTTGGCCTAAGAAGAATTGTTACAACAACTTACCAGGAAATTGTGGAACAGGAAGGCCCTTGGCTCCCACGAGATGAGCTCTATCCATTGCCTCTGCGAAGGGTCGTCACCACTGGTTGAGTTGAAGCTGCTTGGAGGCACGGAAGGGATGCAAATGGATGCAGAGGTATTAAGATGAATGCGAAGGGGCACAAAGAGGTGCAAAGCGATGAAGAGGAAGGCCCTGGGCTCCCACGAGATGAGCTCTATCCATTGCCCCTGGGAAGAATCGTCCTCTCTGGTTGAGTTGAGGCTGCATGGCGCGAATTGCATAGGAAACGAAGTGACACAGGGGATAGAGGCGGATGGAAAGCAGTGCAAACGGATACAAATGTGGAGAAAGGTGAGTTTCCTATCTATGCAACGCATCGAATTTACCACTTGAATCAAAGCTACCTGATGAAAAGGCAAAGGGAGTCGACGGGATACGAAGACCAAAGAGTTACTTATGTAAAAATAGAAGTGTTCCTTTTTTATTGACTAAAAAACACAACAGCCTACCAGATGCAATCCTGATCGTCCCGATAGCAATGTACACGTCAGCAACAGCTGCACCTACCTCTCCCCCTTCCACCCTATGAGCCTCTCTTCGGCTTGCGCGTCATTGGATATCGCAGCCACGTGGGAGAAAGCAGCGGCTAGACATGCGACGAACAGAGCTACCGCGGCATCCAGAATTGCAATTCGAAAAAGCTTCCGACGAACCATGATTCTAAATGCGCAGATGAGATGCTTTATGAAGCGAGCCCGCTTGTGGAAAGCGGTCGGAAACGAAGACCGAACAAAAGAGAAAGAAAAGGCAAACGCAAAAATTCCCGTGCTCGGTTTCCTCGGTAGACTACTTTAGGAGCTCACTGTAACTAGTAGCATGCCGTCGTCTGAACTGAATAGAGCTGAACTCTAGTGTGCCGCTTTTCCCGCCAAGAACAAGGCATTCGGCTCCGCCGTGATTGGATGGCGAACTGACAGAAGTTGTGCTCCATAAGATTTCTCCGATAGTGCATGTTCGCGATTGCTCAAAATGCTTGTTATCCACTGGTGTTCTTCTTCTGACGAGTGTCGTAAGTCTTGAAGATATATATGAACACAATGCAAACCAGTATATATGAACCACCCTATTTGGCAAAATCACAGAATGAATCACAGCGGAGTCGTTGAACATAGCAGCAAACTAGTAGTCATCACCATATCTTGGTTACAATATATTTTACCTGGAGCACAAAGAAAAAGCAGGAGATTGGGGTGGTTGGGTAAGAACGCTCAGGAAATGTTACATGGATACTGCAAAAACCTCAATCACGTTTCCAAAGGTTCAACTTGTGAAAAATGCAAGCCACAATTCTGCCGATACAGAAAATACAGCTTCCACCAAATTGCAGGCAAAAACGTAATACACGCTGAAGTTATGTAACCGTACCTGTAACCTGCTCCACGATAGGGGCCGTAATCCGGTGATCTGTCTCGGCGGTAAGGCTGGTAGTCTGGTGATGATCGGCGAGGATTGAACTCCCTGTCGCCACCATAACCGCGGTCTGACAAGACAACAGAATGGTGGGCGGAATAAGAAAAAAAGTGAGAACATGAGCTTGCATGTTACGGTTATACAGCAAAATAGGCATGGGCACTTAACCTGGACGGGTCAGGTGTCGGCTCGGGTTCTTATATTCACAGTGCCTACCCACGCGGGTCGAGTAGTATATACTCGCTCGGGTATGTTATTTCCATGTACCCGACCAGGATGTCCAATGTCGGGTATGTGAAACCCAACAAATGTAATCCTAAAGCAGTTTTAAGAAATAAACATAAAAATTACAGAACATACTAATCCATAATGGGTATACCCGACCCGACCTCGGGAATACCCGACCCGACCTTGAGTTCTAAATACCCGAGGTGTACAGAGCGGGTCAGGAATACACCCGAACCCTAAATACCCGGGGTCGGGTATCCCCGACCCGACCCGACCCTGCCCTCGGATAGCCCCAAACGGGTCGGGTCGGGTCGGGTCGGGCCAATGCCCATGCCTACAACAAAATTCCAGTGAGGCCAAACTTTATACAAATAATTTATTGACAAGAGCCTACACTTACCACCACCAGCCACAACAGTCTCCTTCAGGCTACGAGTGCCCAGGAACTTGCCAGGAGTTGGGGTTCGGGCCCGCTTCCTCTTTGCCTGTTGAAAACCCAGGGAATGACAATGCAGCATTAGAATCACCAACTAATCCCTCTTGAGAAGAAGGATGCTTACTCGGATAAACCAACCTTGAACTACATATGCAAAAATCGACTGCGGACATTTACGGAGAAGAAAAACGGACACAGAAACTCATGCAATGCTATAGGGAAATGGGAGAGGAGTAAAACAAATAACACCACCAGTAGCGCAAGCTTGGATCAGGGTCGAAGGTGCTGCTGGGGAGGCGGACAATAGGCATTGGGGCTGGGGTTGAAGCAGGATGTAATTTGCAGCCGCTACATCGATCGCTCGATGCTGAGCAGACTTGATCAGCATGTAATCGAGGCAGAGGTTTATATTGAAGCAGAAATTGATGCCGAACGGAGGATTTCTTGCAGCAGTAATGGCTGCTTGCAGTGTTGGTGAGGTGCATGCCAATCGCGTTCGTTGGTGCAGGCAGGATGGTTGAGGTTGGTTGGCGTGGCGTTTAAATTGCAAGTGTTTGGCGCTTGGTGGGCGCTAAGTCGAGGCCGCTAGCGACGACGCTGCTAGGGTCGAGGCCGCTAAGGGGCTTTGAATGTGGGAGACGAATAGGGGATGCGTGGCGGAGCAGCATTGGTCTAACCCACGCTGGGTAGGCAGACGGGAGAGAGCGGAGATGGTGGAGAGAAGAGAGAAGGAGGACGAGAAACGTCAAACCTCACAGTCAGCTGACAAAACACTTCAAATAGGAATCAAACAATGCGTGAAGCCAGCGTGGCAAAAATCATAGAAAGCACAGGGGGGAGGAAGGCGAAAAACGGGAGCGTTAACAGAGCTTCGGAAATCGGAGATGAACGTACGAGCGCGACAGTGATGACGCGGCCTTCGAGGATGGAGCGGTCGAGGTACTTGAGGCAGCGGCGCGCGTCGTCGATGTTCTCCATGGTGACGAACGCGAAGCCGCGCGACTCCTTGGTGCGCGGATCTAGCACGAGCCTGCACTCCGCCACCTGCGAAAGGGGAGAGACGAATTTTTATTATTATTATTATTATTATTATTATTTTTAGGAAAGAAGCAATTAAATATAAAAGAAAGGAAGAAAGAAATCACACGCATTGAGTAAAACACTGCCAGAAAGTTTAGCTTAAGGATGTTGTGGAAAGCGAGGGCCGAAGTAGGGTGTTTGAGAGGAGGACGGTAACGAATTAAGACGCTGGTAACAAAGTCGGATTAAAAGCGGGTTGGACGTAAGGCGTCCCTAATCTTAAAAAAAAAAAAAAAAAAAAAAAAAAAAAAAAAAAAAAACCGCTAATAAGAGTTCCATGTAGCATTGATAGTACCTTTCCTTCCTTGGAGAAATGCTTCTCCAGCTCCACCTCTGTGGTCCGCATGGACAGGCCGGTCACGTAGAGGTTGTTTCCCGGATTCCTCGCCTCGTCGCTGAAACCAAAAAGAACGAAATAAGGGAGGAATATTAGAAATGCATTCAAAATAAGGCGGCTCCGAAGGTTTCTCGAGGAAAAGGTCGCTCGAGAACTATTATTTGCAAGAGGGCTGCGATAGTCAACGAGCTTGTAACAAACGGGGGAAAAAAAAGGGAGCGATGAGTAAGGTGTGACTGTGATAAAAACGAATGCGAGTATGTCCCTATGCGGCGTACTCTGGTTCCGGGCTTCTCGGCCGAGGGCTCCGCATCCGGGGGCTCGCGCGCCTGAACGGCGGGCTCCGGCTCCGCCCCCTTATAGGGCTCCTGGAGCGACGCCTGTAAGGACTCCGGCTTCTGCTTCTAACGGGACTCCGGCTTCTGACGGGGCTTCGGCTGCGCCGGCGAATCGGGCTCCGGCTGCGTCCGCGTACCGGGCTTCGGCTAGGGCTTCGCCGCGGACTGCGGATAGGGCTGCGGCTGCGACTCCGCGGAGCGGGGCTCCGCCTGCGGGGAGAAGGCGATCTGGACGGCATCTCCGGAATCACAGGTGGACTACGATTCAAGGTAGGAATTGATTATGGCGAGAAGCCTGTTCGGCGTGAACACGTAATTGTGACGGTTCCGCTTAATGCAATTTAAAAGTCGTTACACAATACTGCGAAGCAAAAAGAACGCCGAGCTATGGCAAACTAACGAGCGTACCGCCAGCTAGGTTGGTCAAGCAAGTACCAAGGTGCTACAGTGCTCTGGAGTCAGAAACTTCCATAGCAGAAATAGCCGCCTGTCACTAGGTAAAAACAGAAATTTCATTATTACCGTTCTCGAACGTGACGCACCTTTCGAAACCGCGGATCGTGAGGCGAAAGCAACGGTCTGGGTTGGGCCTTGTGGTCCGCTGCTGGTTGGGCGGAATAGTGGAGGTGGGGGAGTGGGAACCACGGGGGAGGCAAGGAATTGGTGAGCGTTGGCGGAGGCTAGTGGCGGACCAGGGGGAATGGCAGGGAGGTGGGCCAGGCAGGCAGCTGGGGAAGAAAATCCAGGCATGCGGAAAATGGGTGGAGGAAGTGGTGAAGCAGGGAAAACGTTTCCAGCAACTCACAATCCGCTCCGATTCCAAGTGTATTCCGTTTCTACTCCAAAGTTTACGAGGTCATTCAACAACGAGTATTATTCGCTCCCCTCCCCTCCCCTTCGTTTCGCCCCAAGCCAAACAGTACAGGCACATCAGCAGCATATTTCACGGAGCAGTACTTTCAGCCGTCATTTGCGGAGAATTCAGCCGCCGTTTGCAGCACAGGAATCTGTCCGGTTTTTACGGGGCGTAAATATATCACGATGTCCTGCTTACCTCTCAGCACGCGATATTTTACGAGGTTTCCCTCTCTCATGTTTCTTCTTGTCGCCGTCTTATCTCTTGCTTCCGCCAGATCTGCATCATATACTAGTAGCTGGCAAAATCTGCTTCGAGGCGAGAACACTCGACGATTTGCAACGCCTGGCGACACGTCGCGTCGTCAGGATAGGATTCATTATGGCAAGGTTGACGATAAGGGACTGGTCGACAAATTGATGGGATTATCGAGCCGGGATGTGAAGATCCCGGCGGAGTTCGCAGAATGGTTGGTTGCGCACAGCACTTGGGGAGTACTCAGGTAGGCTGGCGGAAAACGGGGGAAGGGGGGTGGGAGGGGAGGGGGGGTGGGGAGAGGGGGTGGTTAGTGCGTTGGTTGGTTGTGCGCAGCACTGTGGGAGCACTCAGGTAGGCTGGTGGAAAGCACGGGGACGCAAATTACGGGGGATTTCTTTGGGACACCATACGGGGGCGCAGCACGTGGGGGATACTAACATGTGGATGACTAGCAGTTGGGACGTCTATATCGCTGGTGGACATTATTGTCGCACGGGAACACATGTGGATGTCCTCTAGCACAATCTGCTCCCGTTCTGATCGAGATTTGCTGGTTCTTTTCCCCGAAATTTTGAGTAACAGAAGGTCTGGGGTAACAAAGATATTGTGAATACTGAGGCGGCTCAACAGCTGCTAGAATTATGACCGTGTTTCCTCTTGCCTGCTCTCATCTCAATTTATATGCCTGCTCTCATCTCAATTTATATGCCTGCTCTCATCTCAATTTAATTTATATGCCTGCTCTCATTTCACTTTATATGCCTGCTCTTCCCTTGGAGCCTTGCATGCAGCACCATTTCTCGGCACCTCGACGGCTCACCATTTGGGTAAGCAGTTTATTGCCTTTTAAGCTGCCAACAGAAATATGCCTTATGCCTCTGAACTGAACATGGATTTTTTTGTTGAATATGATAAAGGACTCTTTGGTTTTCGTTCTTTCTCTCATTCTTTTTTCTTCGGTAAATAAACTTAATCCAACCCCTCTGTCTGTATTCCTTTCCTTGGTTGCTGCCGTCATTCACCCATGTTTTGTTGTATTTCCCGTCATTCCAGCAACGTGGTTTCGTTCAGTGATGGAGTTCTTGGCAACTACTCAGGTGTGTTCTTGAAGGCTCCGCAAAAACAGATATGCTGCTTTAACACCATAAAAGCAGAGGTCTGTAACCCCTCCCACTTGGTAGCAGACGTTTTGTTGTGTTTCCCAACTCCCCCCACTCCCCCTCCACTCACTCCCCATCCAGGTACTGCAGCGATATATTCTCTCTACATGCAATCGTTTCTCGGGACCCACTAGTTGTTCTCACTCCCTGCTTCACACAACTTTAGATTCCCCTTGCATGTTTCTTTTCTCCATCTCTCCCTCTTCCAGGGACGCCCTATATATTCCCCGTGCTGCAGCTATATATTCTCTCTACATGCAGTCATTTCTCAACCCCACAGGTTGTTGTTTGGATGACAGGTTCGTGAAGAAGGAATACCACAGGTGGTTGCTTCACCCGCACTCTGCTGTGCGCACCTTTCACTTCGCCTTGCACTTCACCTTTCACTTTGCCTTGCACGTTCCTTTTCTGCTTCTCTTTTTTTCCCAGGGACGCCCTACTTCTACCTCACCCCATCGGATCCCTCTGCTGCTGACGTGGCAGCAGATCCTCGCGCCTCACTGGCTGTCAGCGCCATGCCTCTCGGCGCATGCGGTGACTCGGACCCAGAAAGCCCGCTCTGCGCCAAGCTGACTCTTTCCGGAGAGGTATGAGATTCTGGGGTGGATGTGTGTGGTGGATTGCTGAAGTAGTGTGGTGTATTAGAAGTGATCCGCGCCTCTCGGCGCATGCGGTGACTCGGACCCGGAAAGCTCGCTCTGCGCCAAGCTGACTCTTTCGGGAGAGGTATGACGATGTGGGGTGTTTTTGTGAAATGGTGGGGTGGGTGTTTGAGACGGTGGGGTGGGTGTGTGAGACGGTGGGGTGGGTGTGTGTGAGACGGTGGGGTGGATGTTCGAGACGATGGGGCGCAAACCCCCCTGCCAATCCCCCTGCCAATCCCATGCCAATTCCCCATGCCAACTCCCCATGGCAATTCCCCATGCCAACTCCCCATGCCAATTCCCCATGCCAACTCGCCATGGCAATTCCCCATGCCAACTCCCCATGGCAATTCCCCATGCCAACTCCCCATGGCAATTCCCCATGCCAATTCCCCATGCCAACTCCCCATGGCAATTCCCCATGCCAATTCCCCATGCCAACTCCCCATGGCAATTCCCCATGGCAATTCCCCATGCCAACTCCCCATGGCAATTCCCCATGCCAATTCCCCATGCCAACTCCCCATGGCAATTCCCCATGCCAATTCCCCATGCCAACTCCCCATGGCAATTCCCCATGCCAATTCCCCATGCCAACTCCCCATGCCAATTCCCCATGCCAATTCCCCATGCCAACTCCCCATGCCAATTCCCCATGCCAATTCCCCATGCCAACTCCCCATGGCAATTCCCCATGCCAATTCCCCATGCCAACTCCCCATGCCAACTCGCCATGGCAATTCCCCATGCCAACTCCCCATGGCAATTCCCCATGCCAATTCCCCATGCCAACTCCCCATGGCAATTCCCCATGCCAATTCCCCATGCCAACTCCCCATGGCAATTCCCCATGCCAACTCCCCATGGCAATTCCCCATGCCAACTCCCCATGGCAATTCCCCATGCCAACTCCCCATGCCAATTCCCCATGCCAATTCCCCATGCCAATTCCCCTTGGCAATCTCTTGCAAATCGCTGCGCCAACCAACCCCCCAATGTCAACCCTCCATGCCTTCCCCACCCCGGTCCTCTCATCCGTTCAGCTGCACCGAGTGCTCGACCCGGAAGAGCTCTCATTCGCCGAACGCGCTCTCTTCACTCGAAACCCCGAGATGCTGAGTAAGGCCTCTCTTTCCAGCTGATTCACTCTCGCCCACTCCCATCCTCTCTACTTCCTCCGCCCACCAACCCACGGTATTCCCCCTTTTCAAAATTCCATGCCTTATGTAATTCTTCCCGTGACCTGGGTTTTGAGACCATCAGTGTTTCCTCCGGCTCTCTCTCTCCCCTCTCCTGCTCTCTCTCTCCCCTTCCTGCAGCTTGGCCCAAGGACCACCACTTTCAAGTGTTCAAGCTTGTCCTCGCTAATGTCTTCCTCATTAACGGGTTTGGTGGACCCAGGGTGAACAGTACTACAGTGCATCGTCTGACATTCCAGTTTCGAAGCTTATCGTGGGCTAAGGGTCTGGACATAGTGTGTAATTCCTGTACGTTTGTACATATGGTACTAGATATACCCAAGTGTATTTCAAAATATATGGACAGCCAGGTGGGCATCTGACTTATTAGTGGTGGGGACACATCAATCAAAACTACCTATGTTCAAGCCGTTACATTTCAGTGAGAGAGAGCAATCTTACATAGCAACCATAATTGAATGCTGACAGCACACCAGAAGAAATGAAATCAAATGCACCCCTGGTTCAAACATGGCACAGCATACCGTCTTGTTCACCCGAACCTAGATGGCAACAAGCCATTGCCTTCTTGAGGTGTCGCCCACTGCTTGTTACTACATCCCCTGCTTGTAACGAGTCGTTCCCCGTTACTGTGCTACAAGCCCCTGCTTGTAACGAGTTGTTACTCGCTACTAGAAGCCCCTGCTTGTAACGAGTCATTACTCGCTACTACAAGCCACTGCTTTGAATGAGTCATTGCTGGCTTGTTACGTGGCAATATTCGTGCTACATGACTTGGAAAGCACGTTATTTTGTGTAGGGTTAACCACCGCGTTACACACCAGTTGAACCTGGCGCATGGAAAGAAGAGTCGTAGTGGAATACAAGACAGGAGAAGAGACGGCACACATTATTAGGTAGATGCGCAAAACGATCGACATAAGAGTGCGCATGGTGGTGTGTGCATGGGGGTGTTTTTACAGTGGTGTGTTGGTGGTGTGTGCATGGTGGTGTGTGTTTAGTGGTGTGTGTATAGTGGCGTGTGCATGCGGGTGTGTGCGTGTCTGTATAGTGGTGCGTGTATGGTGTTTTTTTAATCTGTTGCATTGATGCTTTTGTGAGCTTACATTGAAAGCTGGTGTGAGGCTCTGAAGGATCCGAGTCCTGGCCTTCAGATTAATCACAACCTGTGGGAACATGACAAGACCAGTCAACAAAAACATTACTTGTTTGGTTAGAACGTGGAGGATGGTCATTAAACATTGGAAATAGCACAAGAATTGAATTGGATGGATGTTAAGGCAAAGCATCTAGAAGCCAAACAATAACAAGTAATGCACGTACTGAGTTGGCAAAATGTTCATACAGTCACCCACCGGAGAATTAAGCTTCCCATTTGCGATCAAGCCAGTGATAAGGCTCTGGTCAGAGAAGGATAGAAGCTGGAAGTGCCCTAGTGCCCGAGTGTAAGTTGCAGCAATTACCCAGCCCATTCACCCACCTGAAACTCAAGCTCGCCATCCGCAATTGAGCCTGTGATAAGGCTCTGGTTCGAGAAGGAGAGCAGTGGGAAGTGGCCAGGTCTATACTGCAGTCTGCAGCCCAGTCACTTATCCAGCCCAGTAACGCACCTGAAACTCAAGCTCGCCAATTGCAATTGAACCTGTGATGAGGCTCTGGTCTGAGAAGGAGAGCAACGGGAAGTGCCCAGGTCTAGCTTTTAGTCCAATCACGTCCCCAGCCAAATCACTCGCCCAGCCCATTCACCCACCTGAAACTCGAGCTCGCCATTTGCAATGGAGCCTGTGATAAGGCTCTGGTCCGAGAAGGAGAGCAGGGGGAAGTTGTCGATGTTGAAGGGGACAGTGATGGTGGCGCTGCTGTTGGCGGGAAGAGTGAAGTCTGGGATCTGCACGAACGGCATGAGATGGGCGTTTGGGAGGTGAGGAAATTCTTTACTGCCGTGCATACAGCATAGGAAGGGCATAGGAATGGGGAGAATTTTAGATGCATAAAAGCCAGCCTCTTCACATACTACTGTTGGCAGGGAGAGTAATGCCTGGTATCTGCACAAACATATGGCAAGGGGCAAAAGAGTGTAAGGTGGGGGGGATTTGTGGAGAGAAAAAGGCAAGAAAAGATGAGCTTCTATGGTTTTAAATACACCTATGTTTTGGTGTATAACTCACGTTAGCATAGCCGACATCGACGCTGTAGAAGCTGACGTCCATGTTGACCTCCTCTGCGATGATCTCAATGGGGTTTGGAATGTGGATTCGGCTCAGGAGGATTTGTTGGATGTTCGTGCATTCATTTTCAACTCCCGGTTAATACTGGTTCTGGTTGGTGTGTCGCGGTCCAGAGCTGTAACAAGCGCAATTTCGAACTTGCGCGAAATTCGAATCTCACATCAGCGTAGCCGACGTCGACGCTGTAGAAGCTGACGTCCATGTTGACCTCCTGCGCGATGATCTCAATGGGGTTCGGATTCGACACCACCGCCGCCACGTTGATCAGCGCCGTCAGATCGAGGCTGACCTCCTTGAACGGCTCGAGGCTGAAACTCCAGGAGTCCGGTCCGGAAACGGTCAGGTGGCCGTTCTGGAAGTCGACTCCTTGAACTGACAGGTCCGGAGGCTGGTTGGGTTTGGTTGGGGAGAGATAGGTTAGGGAGACATGTTAGAAGAAAAAGATCAAGGCTGAAACTCCAGGAATCGGGCCCTGATACCGACAGGTGGCCGTTTTGGAAGTCCACCCCTTGCACTGACAGGTTAGGAGGCTGGTTTGGATGACAGGTTCGGGAACAAGGAATATCACAGAAGAATAACCATTAGAAGAATGATTCAGGCTGCGATTCTGTTCCCATCCTGACGCAGAATCACAGAAGATTTACCTTGATAAGTGCTGCAATCCTGCTTAGGATATCCAAAGGTCCCGAGGAGCTCGAATTTGCGGCTGGTGCTTCTGATGGTGTCTGCGGTGCTGCTGGTGGTGACGGTGGTGGCGATGCTGGTGGCGGTGGTGATGGTGTTGGTGATGCTGGTGGTGGTGGTGGTGATTCAGCTGCACCGTAGTCATACGGATCGGTGGTTGCCCCGCTCTCCACTCCCATGCCAAACACTCGTCCATTGACAGGTGTCAGCTCCGGATTCGCCAGCTGCTGCACTGCTGACGTGTCCTCCACGGCACCCCTAGACGGCTGCCACGTGGCAGCATCCCATGATGAGGTGGCGCCTCCTCCCTTAGCTGAGATAACGCCGTTGGTGTTGGGTTGAATGTCAAGCTTCGCAACAACAGTGCTCACATTCCCCCACCTTCCCCCGATCTGCACAGTCCCTACCAACTCCCCCACCTGCTGCTGCTGCTGAGTCAGCATCGCATCTGCTGACGTGGCATTGTTGGATTCCTGGCACTTTTTCTTGCTAGCTGTCACGCCAACAGCGACCGCTGCTGCTATGAGGAGAGCGAGAAGGATGAGCGCTGCTCCCCCTGCTAGCAGCACGCGCCTCTTTCGCGCCTTCCGCCTATCGTCCTCTTCGATTTCAGACAGACACAGAAAAATGGCTTGCTCAGCTGACTGGGGGAGGGGGAGGGCGGAGGGGGGTAAGGAGGGGGCAGGAGGGGGGGAGAGCCAGGAGGATGAGCGCAGTTCCCCCAGCTAGTAGCGCGCCCCTCTTTTGCGCCTTCCGCCTTTCGATTCGGACAAGCGCAAGAAAATGGCTTGCTCGGCTGATTTGGGGGGGTATAAAACTAAGTTGGATCTTACGTTTTCGTAAGATTACAACGATTTTTACGTTTACGAACGGTTGCCCTGATTCGGCCTTACGTTTACGGTCACCTCAAAACTTTTTTGAGCTGCCCGAGGAAGAAAAACGACCAGAGCATCAGGGAGATTCCCTCCAACCTAGTCCCGTAACTCGCTATCTTGTTCAACGTCATCCTAGCAGCTCGTTCGTAACCTATCGTGTTTCTCTCCTGCTAACCAGGTCAACGCTGAACTTGAAACTTTCACGGACTCAAAAGGCCCTCCATACGTAGTAAAATTGCTATTCTAGAAAGGCACACAGCAAATAAGTAGTAGGATCTAGTACCCGTACATAATCCAGAAAAAATAAATCACAGTAGTTTTTCTTCCTGCCCGCCTCATACCGCGTAATTTTTCGTTTTCGTTTTCGTTTTCGTTTTCGTTTTCGTTTTCGTTTTCGTTTTCGTTTACGTTTTCGTTTTCGTTTTCGTTTACGTTTTCGTTTTCGTTTTCGTTTTCGTTTGCGCGGTATAAAGAGGGGGCAGGACGGCAAGAGAACGAGGAGGATGAGCGCAGTTCCCCTGCTGGAAGCGCGCGCCTTTTCCGCGCTTTCCGCCTCTCTCAATTTCCGATAGGGAGTTTGGATGACTGGGAGAGGGGAATACGGGGGAAAAGGGGAGAGGGAAGATCGTCCTGTGACGCTTCTCAAAATTGATCAAGAATCGTGGGAGGAGAGCGCAAGAGCGGGAGGAAAGCGGAAGAATGGGAGGAAAGCGGAAGAGTGGGAGGAGAGCGGAAGAGCGGGAGGAAAGCGGAAGAGTGGGGGGAGAGCGGAAGCGGGGGGGGGGGGGGGGATGGGGGAGCGGAGGAGGGGGGGAGCGGAGGAGCGGGGGGAGCAGAGAAGTTTCCCAGTTGCAAGCTGAGATATCGAGGCGCCTGGAAAACAGTAATGCCACCTAGAAATTTGGATATCGCGGCATCTGATTAATCAGATAATTTTGGATGTCGCGGCATCTGGAATCCCGTCGTCTTCGTTGCGTTCTGCGACATCTGAAATGCCGCGAGCACGCGATGGTGGTAACCAGGCGCGGCATTCCAAATCCCGACGACCGCCGCGTGTCTCTTTCTGAGACGCCTGAAATGCCGCGCGCAGGCGGCTGTTGTGTCCAAGCGCGCGGCATTACAAATCCCGACGCCCGCGTCGTCGTTATGGCGCCTAAATGCCGATATACTGCAATACGAACGGCTGCGATGGTTCGGAATGACTGCACCGCATCGTACGGTGTTCCAGCGGAATGCGCTGCGAAAATAGCGGCGCGGAGGACATTCCGACGGTAAGGGGAAACGGGAGGATGTGGGGGGTGAGGGGGGGAAAGGGGCGGAAGGCGTTGGCGGCTGTTGTGGAAACACGTACGAGTGCCTTTTGGTTGACCACGTCATTTGCGTCGCCTGCCACGTCAGCTCGTTCTCCCTCCGACGTGGCAGTAACGAGGTTCCCCTGTCCCGCTTCCACGTCATCCCACGTAGATGGTCGCTCAGAATACGGCGCCATCAGCGCCACGTGTCAGTCGCGAGGGACGTTTCACGTGCCACGTGTCAGTAGACTACGCCCACTATTCTGCGCAAGCAGGACGCACTGAAGGAGAGTCTGACATTTACATTTAGCAAGACCGTAATAATCGCCTACACAAAGAGACTATTTCAGAGCCTTTTCTTCTACACTAGGTTGAAAAACACGACGAATGGCATTCGCTATTAAAGCCCGCATCCAGCAGCTGAAGAAGGAGCAAGGAGCAACACAACGCCGGCGAATGCGCTTGTAGCCCGAGGAAGTGACGTACTGAACCAGCTATCTTTCCGTGGCGCGGAGCGACCGTACTAAAACGTGGCGGTTGGGACCAACTACAGTAAGCCCCTGTCTGTCCGTCGGTACGTCTCTATTTTACCCTGGAAGGAAATTACGTGTTATGTCGGTGCCTCGAAGACTTGTGTACTGTAGCAGAGGAACGTGCGCTGTTGAGGTGGTGGACATTTTGTCGCTCAAACGAAAAAGCTGGGTTTGAGGGATGGTTCAGGTACGGCTATAAAAGTTGGTAATTTTAGTCCGACACTGACTTGGCTAAGAGGCCGTGGAAGGAAACTCTCGTTGTACTGAAAATGGGTAAACATTTCCAACCTGGAGGTCAGATGGTTCGGCCCATATCGGCAACTGGCTGCCAATCAGCAGCGACGAATCGTTTCGCGAGCCAGCGTTTTCATGTGATTGGCTGGAGGAGTTGTTGGGGCGATATGGCTGGTCGCATTCCATCTGAGAAACCCCACAACCGCGGTGTGGCCGAATGCGAAGATTTTCGACAACAATTGCGAAAGTCGGATCGCCGAGAAGTCGTTTGTCAATGACCCACCTCAAAGCAGTTCACAACACCCAATAAGGATTCAATTCAAGCAGTTCTCAAAACGCAAAATTAAGACGTGATTTCATTAGCAACTTTAGCCACAGTACAGCTTGGGAATGTCAGACTTCTTGCGCAAACACACACAAGAAAACGCATCTTGGGAGCTCTCACTACTAATGAATATACTTAAAAAACAAAAAGAGGGAAAAAGGCTACACTTTTGTAGGCTTGGCTCCACACTCCTTTGTGGTCATAACGTCCGCACTGGGGTCCACCGTCATGACACACATCACAGTGACCTGTAACAAGGCATTCAATAGAGGGAAAAATCCTGTGAAGGATGTATATTGACAGTTCATGCGCATCCCATTTTTCCAAAACAGCTTGACTGCATACAGAAAGAGGAACGTTGTATACTCTCTTACGTCTCTCACACACTTTCAGTGGACTCACCCTATCATTTACTGCACTTACTGTGTGCCCCGCAATACTCACATTGTAATTGGGAGAGGACATTCCCCACACCCTCACGTCCCTCGCGTTACTCACATACAATCTTATTGCGCTGTCACGATATGCGCACTATCCCTTACTGTGTGCCCCACAATACTCACATTGTAAGTGGGAGAGGAGATTCCCCACACCCTTACTTTGCCCTGAGCGTTGATAAAGGTCTGATGCAGAAAAAGAGGGAGAAATCAGTGGGGATCAGGAATGGTTTAGAAGAGTGGATGAGGGAGGGTATAGGAAGATCCCCCCGCACTCAGTTGCCCTTAAGTGCTGACAAATGTCTGACGCAAAAAACGAGAGAGGGAATAAGGAATAAAGTTTGGGATTGAGTGAGACAGGAATGATGAGTCATTTAATAGTGAGGGGATGATGATAAGACGAGAAGATTACCAAACACACACCCCCACTTTGCCTTGTGTGCTGATGAAGGTCTGATGCAGAAAAAAGGAGGACATAAAAAAGGGGGAGTAGATGAGTAAGGGATGAGTGAAGAGAGGCAGAGGCTGCGGGAATTCCCGCCTCAAGCTCACACCTGCATTTATAATAATCTGCTCTCGCAGCAGCTTGTGGTTACGGGGCTTCAATCCATGGGGCACACACGGATCGAGCAGAGGACAAGTGGGCTTGTTTTTGAGAATTCTCAAAATCAACCTTAAAAAGAAGTACACGGATCGAGCAGAGGACAAGTGGGCTTGTACCTGCGTTTTGATCTTGCGCTCCCTCAGAGCAGCAAAGATGGGGCTCCTGACTTGTGCTGACAAGGATGCGGGGATCAACGGGAAGCTCGTACCCGTGCCCGTATGCCCGTTGTATTTTGAGTCGACTCAAAAACAGTACCCGTGCCCGTATGCCCGTTGTGTATCCCAGGTGCTTGTACCCATGCCTGCATGGCCATTGTGTACCCTTACTGCCTGACTCCAGCTCACATCTGCGTTGACTCATACCTGCATTTTTATCTTGCGCTCCCTCATAGCAGCAGCAATGGGGCTTCTGACTTGCGCCGAGGAGGACGTGGAGAGCAGCGGGAAGCTCTTGACCACGATCGGCACGGTGGCGATTTTCGTCTGCTTCTTGCCCAGCTCAAACGCTGGGAGCTGGATGGAAAGCGGGGAACAGGAAGTGCACTGAGATGACAGAAGCAGCGAATGTAGCAACAACAACAAAAACAATGGAGGAAAAGAAAATTGGGGGAAAGAAAAAGATTGAAAGAAAAAGAACGTACCGAGATATTTGAGACATGGATGCCGAACAGGTAGATTCCCATGTTCATGAAATTGAAGATCCCATCGAAGCTGTTTGGATTGTACACGCTCGCAGTCACGTTCACTTGCGCATTCAAATCCACCTGCAACCCTTCAAAGTTGTTCTGAATCGCCCTTTGAATCTCGTCCCCGATGCGTGACAGGTCCTTAGAAACCTCCTTAGAGACGTTCCTACCGGCTTTAGAAACCTCTCGAGTCACATTCTTGCCGATTTGACTAACGTTCTTTCCGAGATCGGAAACTTCTTTTCCAAAATTGGAAAGCCGGTCCTGGAGGGACTTCCCGAGGCTGCTGGGGTTCTTCAGGTCTAGGTTCGACAGGTCCAGGCTCGGAATGTCGAGGTTTGGCACGTTGCCGAGGCTGGGGACGGTGCCTCCGAGGTTCGGGACGGTGACCATGCTGGGGTCTAGGTTCGGCATCTTGATGGTTTGGGAAGGGATTGAGATGCTCAGGCGGACTATATCAACGCCCTCTACAGTCACAACTGGTTCCTGTACAGAGGGGAAGGGTGGGGGGGGAGAAGCGGAAGAGTGGGCTGTGAGAAAGCGGGAAAAATATGGTGTTTGTATTGCATGTATGTACGTGTGCGAGCATAAAATTTTGGCAGGCCGATTCGACAACACATGAGCAACGCTTGAAAAAACGCACGGCAGCCTTTAGACGTGTGAGGAGATTAATGAGATCGATATGGAAGGCAAACTTTAAGATGCGGCGTCATCATTACCTGTTGGGTAAGTGAGAGGAAGAAGACAAGCATTGTGAGGCCAATCCCCGTCATGACGACCCCAGCCCCAATCCCCACCCAGCAAATAATCTCCCACCTCCCGCACCTCCTTCCCCGCTTCTCCTTCCCCGCACCTCCCGCCTTCCCCTTCCCCGCGCCTTCCCCCTTCCCCTTCCCTCCATCCCCCCCCTCTCCGCCCAGCTCCGAATCCCCGTCCATCGCCTTCGCCTTCGCCGCGGCGGCTTCCGCGGCGGATATTGCGGCCGGGGACGGCGACGCGAGAGCGTCGCGGTCCGAGTCGGTGAGGTCGAAGTCCGCGTCGGAGAGGCCAGTCGAGTTTGAGTCCGAGTCGCGGTGGAAAGACCGTCGGTTCTGCACCATCGAATCCACGTCAGCAGCGGCCTCCACGTCAGCTTCGTACGCTGCGTCCGCGTCAGCGTCCGAGTAATCCGAGCGGCCCGACGCCTGTTTCGCAAATGGCGACTCGTCCGCCATCTTTGCGGAAAACACCATCTCGTTGCGAGGCTTAGCTAATATCGAGGATAGAGAGTAACCGCGCGAAACGACTGGCACTGTGGGTTGCTGCGGAGGATTAGTAAAAGATGACGAGCCGCTACTTATGCATGTCTCTAATGAAACGCGTGCGGAAAGAATAAGGTCATAAAGGAAGTGCCTGATCTCGTACAATCATTTGCCCTTTTCACTCCAAAGGCGCGTTCTTTCAAAAGAAAAGGAGTAAGTAGGCTGTTCGCCAGTTCCGCCAACAGTATTTCATTCTGTCCTACAGCACAAGTAATCTCTCCGTTGGTCTTTACCAAAAAAACTCTCTCCTCTAGTCCTACAGAATGATATACAGCTGCTTCGGAAAGCAGCCTCTTGCGCCGAACACGACGCGGCTAGCGACGGTCCGCCGTACTATACCGTTTCCCAGCCTTAGAATGGCGAGCTGTAGGCTATACTGTAGTTGTAAGGTATGCGACTCGCAAGCACCGCCTACCAGGCAGGCTATTATCGAACCAAACTACGCATGCTCCCTGCTTGAGAATGCTAGTGTGTGCGTTCGGCGGTGGCCCTTGACTCACCGAGCTTCGCCGAGTTGTGGTTGGTCACATTCGCGGAATTTAGTTGGTAATGGGGTAACCAAAATGGAATTTGGGCAGAAGTGCAGGGGGATGGGGGAACGACGAGAGAAGGGAGGTTGTGGGGGGGTAGGGGGGGAGAACGAAGAGGGGGAGGAGGGGGAGTGGATGGGGGGAAAAGGTGAGGGGCATCTGGGCTGGACACGTTTTGGCCTTGTCACTGGCATGGGGTTCTCAGCAGTTGTTCTGCTACACAGAAGTTGTGAAACGTGGTTTTCCGACGCGGTGGAGGGAGCCGTGGCGCGTGCGCGTATCTGCGAGCCAAACTGACATTGTTGTGATTGTGATTGGTTTGTGAAGGGGCTAGTTTGGTTCGGTGATCGAAACAAGTGACGGTGGACGACATGCGATTGCGAAGGGGAGGGGTGCTTCTTTCTGTTCATGGAATCGAGCACGGCCATTTTCAGGTGCATGCAACTTAGTCGGGAAACACTGTTCAGGTGCATGCAATCGCGTCGTGTTCTCCCCTCTGTTGTTTCTGTTTGTACACCTCCGCCACGAAATACACTGTTCTATCAGGGGATGCTACCCATGCGACTGACACCCACTCGCGCAGCCCCTGCACGAACTCGTCGTCCAACCACACCAGTCGCAGCCTTACTGCGAGCAAGGTCAATACATATCGCAAAACACCTGACTAAAAACGGGCAAAAATAATAATACCCAATTGGAAACGTATGCGACTAGGGAGAAATCAACCCTAAACACCAGGGCGGTTCCCGTGCTTATGGTTGAAACTCCCGTAAAGTGTGTCCAGGTTCCCTAGTTTCCATTTAAATAATTATTTTTTCTTCCACTGCCTTACGGAATATCAACCCGAAACACCAGGGGGTTCCCGTGTGTTGGGTTGATACTTACCGAACAAAATCCAGGTTTCCCTAGGAGTTGTTTTTTTTTTTTTTTCCCCTCTTTTCGGGCTTCCCTGTGAGGCCGATTTTGTGTGTTGCGTGTGTTGCGTGTGCTGCTTCTGTTGAGCGGGTTGCATCCCCTGACGAACAGTGTTGTTTGTGGCGAATGTGTACAAACAGTGGCAACAGAAGGAGAAACACGACGGGATAGCATACACCTGAACAGTATTTCCAGACTAAGTTGCATGCACCTGAAAATGGCCGAATCGAGCATGTACTTCGTGTTTGTTCGGCCATTTTCAGGTGCATGCCGCACTGTAGGGAAAGGCTTCTCAGGTGCATGCTATCGCGTCGTGATTCTCCCCTTGTTGCCACTGTTTGTACCCATCCGCCACTAAAAACACTGTTCTGTCAGGGGATGCAACCCACGCGACTTACACCAACAGGCCCAGCTCTCGCACGAACCCGTCGTCCAACCACACCAGTCGCAGCCACCCCCAAGGGAGGGATGCATGCGCAAAATCTACGCGCAAGTTCCTTTCCCCACCCCCCCCTCCCCCACCCTCTTCTCCCTTCTATCCAACAAGTGCTGGGCCCTGATGTTACCAGAACACAACACGGAAACCCTAATCCTACGTTACGAGATCTTACACGTAAGGGACCCCTCCTTAGAGGCTCATAGCAGGAACTTACACTACTAAGTCCAAAGTTAGATACAGTTCACGATGACAGTTACTAATAGTCTGACTCAGCTGGTTTCCAACATTTGCGGTGCGCTATCATAAAGGACTCGCCAGCGTTACTGTCTATGGTAATTTCCTTCTTGCTTAATTAGCTAGTAATAAAATTCTCTAGGAACGTGACACTCCCACCGTCTCGTGACTCAGTAATGCCGGCACGTTAGGCCGCTGGCATCAACTTAACGAAGCCACGATTCAGGATCAGGTGTGACAGATTGTTGATTCAACAAAGATCAAGTCTCCAGATGGTTTAAACTCGAAATTTCTGTTTAGGGTAATGGACTCATAATCAATGAGCAACTAAAGAGTGACCGCCAGTGTGCGACCGTTCATCGTCTGAGTATGTGCATTCCTCTTTTTTCTTACCTGTGTGTATTCCCTCCTCCACCCTCCTTCCATCCCAATGCTCTTGCAGATGGCTAGTGGTGGTAAACGCACATTGGATTTTGAAATCGGTAAGCGTTACCGAGACGCCATTGAGGCTCGAGATGACATTGAGCGCCAATGCCATCGTGCAAAGGTGCCACACATCTTCGCTGTCAATGGTCCGAAAAGGTTGGATGTCAAGTGCCCGTCTGCTTTTAAGCGGTCGCAGAGGGGGAGTGTCCAGAATGACATTCGCTGCCCTTTCAAGATTAACATTCGGGCCACAAGCGAGGGCGACCTGCGTGTTTGTAACACTCACTTAGAACACCATACCCGTTGTACCGCTCGCCCTCGCCCTGCACGTAGGAAAAGCCTCATCGCACTAGCAATGTCACTGCCAACAGTTGGCATCACCCCAAAGGTTTTACAAAATGAAGCCTTGCATCGTCTTGGGGTAAAGACTTCGTATGCCACAGCGTGGCGTGCCTTGAACGACCTGAAGGAGAATGACCCTTTGCAAACTGAGAAATCATATCAGTTTGTCAAGAGCATCATAGAGAGACTAGTGGATAACAACCCTGGAACTTTGGTTACCCTTAGCAAGCATGCAGGTCGGTTTTTTAGTGCCTCTGTGATTCCGAGTGTGGCGAGATCCACCATGCTGAACGCCATACCTATCTTGATTGTGGATGGCTGCCACAATAAGACAGTGTGGGGAGGTCACACTATCAATCTGGTAGTGCTTGACGGAGAGGGTCACTACGTGTCAGTTGGCATTGCTTTTGTTGAGTCTGAGAGTAAAGAGGGCTGCTCTTTACCATTGAAGGAGCTACTTCGTGTCTTCCCAGAGCTGAACACACCGGCATGGACAGTGAAACACGACCGTGCAAAAGGATGGGATGCTGCATGTCGAGACGTGCTCCCCAATGCACGTGTCTCTTATTGCGTGACACACCTGACACGCAATTTCAGGGCCAAGTTCGGCATGGACTTGAGCCAGCTCATCCGAGACGCCTCAGAGACATTGACGGAGCAACTGTATGAGTTTCGTATGAACAAGCTCAATGAGCAATTGTTAAACTGTATTATGCTTGTAGGCTGTAGTGGGGTAGCCAATATGGGGTACAACCCCAACTAGGGTTTCATATTTGTACCCAAACTTCCCTTAGTTCATTCATTCTTGCCTAGTGATTCTGATATGGTATTCAGAGCAGGAGGTCCCTAGGACCTACCGACCGTTTTTTTTTTTAAGGGCCCACCACCGCTCGCATGCGGTTACCACGCTACCCCGTGCCCTAGCCTCGTAGCGCCCTCGTGCGCCCACGTTAGCGCCCTCGCGCGCCCCTCGTTAGCGCCCTCGCGCGCACCCTCGTTAGCGCCCTCGCGCGCCCCTTCGTTAGCGCCCTCGCGCGCCCCTTCGTTAGCGCCCTCGCGCGCCCCTCGCCGAGCCGCCCGCTCGCAGCCCGCCCGCCCGCTCGCTGCCCGCTTCGCGGCCCGCTCACTACGCAGCCCGCCCGCCCGCTCGCTGCCCGCTTCGCGGCCCGCCCGCTTCGCAGCCCGCTCGCTCGCTGCCCGCTTCGCGGCCCGCCCGCTTCGCAGCCCGCTCGCTCGCTGCCCGCTTCGCGGCCCGCCCACTTCGCAGCCCGCCCGCCCGCTCGCTGCCCGCTTCGCGGCCCGCCCGCCTCGCAGCCCGCTCGCCCCGCTGCCCGCTTCGCGGCCCGCCCACTTCGCAGCCCGCCCGCCCGCTAGCTGCCCACTTCGCGGCCCGCCCGCATCGCAGCCCGCTCGCCCCGCTGCCCGCTTCGCAGCCCGCCCGCCCGCCCGCTGCCCGCTTCGCGGCCCGCCCGCCTCGCAGCGTCGCCCGCCCGCCGTGCTGCCCGCTTGCAGCGCCGCCTGCCCGCCGCGCTGCCCGCTTCCCGGCCCGTCCGCCGCGCTGCCCG